CCCCCCCCCCCCCCCCCCCCCCCCCCCCCCGCCCCCCTCTCCCAAGGTACGTTTCCCACAGCCGGGAGAGCAGGAGCTGCTCCCCCGGCTTTCATCGCAATTATTATTAATCATAAAGATCCTAAACGTGCCCTCCACCACCGTAAGTCGGCTGTTCCAAAACAAAAAAAAAAAAAAAAAAAAGACCTCAAATCTCAGCTACCGCCTCGCAAATGGATCTGCCTGCAAAAAAATAGAGACACATTCCTAAAAATTTTCCCCCTCCTTCCCTCCTCCTCCCCCCCCCCGCCTCCCCCCCCACCACCGCCCGGCTTCACCCCAACCAGAACTCCCCAGTTGTAAAGCGGGGGTAGTGGGGGGGATGGGATGGGGTGGGGGGGGGAAAAAAAGGGCCCTGGATGAGGGCTGCAAAAGAGTCTCTGCGTGGAAGGAAGCTTAAAGCTTGTGAACTCTTCTTGAACCGAGATTGGAGTCATATGGTCATAAATCATTGGGACATATACTCCGCCATTCACAAAGTGATAGCCTATTTGAGTCCGGCTTACCTTAGTCTCTGACGAGCAAAGCACGGGCAGACATAATATATTTTCACATCCAGCATCCACGCAATCAATAAGCAAGGAATGACCCCCTTCCTTTAAAAAACGTTAAAGGAATATACGAGAGAGAGGGGGGGGAAGAAAATCCGGCATATGGATGGATGGATGTATTAAAAAAAAAAAAAAAACAGGGGGGAGGGGGCTCAGCCAGTGGAGCTTTCGGTTACGGCAGCTCAAATTGTCTCTCTGTCTCCGTTTGGGGAGGGGGGGGGGTGGAAAAATCAAGATGCTTTCCAGCTTCCAAGATGTGCGGAAAAGCTGAGGGCTTTGAATGGACAAACCCCGAGGTTCTGGTTGCCCTATAGACTGGTACGCTCTGCTCACTGATAACAATGGCCTCTGCTTTACCACAGCAAAGGGGAAGAAGGGAAAGGAGAAGGGAGGAAAAAAAAAAAAAAAAAAAGAGAGAGAAAGAAAAGCTGAACACAACACCCCCCCCCTCATCCCCCCCCCCCCCCCCCCCCCCCCCTTCTCACCCCCCTTTTAACTATGCGATGCTTGGCTAGGATTAAAATAATAACGAAAAGAATCCAGGCGACGGGGAGGGCGGGGGGCGAGGGGGAAAAGAAAGCGGAGGGGATATTTAAAAACACAGATCGGGTTCGGATTGCTGGGCAAAGGCAGAGAGGCTCCCGAACAGCGTCACTAGTGAAAAATTATGCTAATTGCAGACGTGGTGGACAGAGGCCTAGACAGAAAGATAGTAAAGCTCGCCTTTGATTCACGTGTTTAACAATTAGGTGTCAATTTATGCTAATAAACCGTTTCAAAATAGTCATGGTTTCCCCCCCCCCC